CATTTGCCTTTTTCTCTCATTTTCTCTATCTTAATCCATGCATTAATAGTCTGTCTGTCTGTCTATCATCTATCTGTCTCTAACTCTCTGTCTCTGTGTCTAACTATCTCATCTCTCTCTTTCTATCTCTCCATGCGAGCCTATATCTTTCAGTTCAAAAATTCAGCGCAACATAGACTGGAAAAGGATGTTAGAAAACATTCCCATCCCTAAAGCGTGGAAAACATATTCTGCCTCTTGATGTATTCTCAGTGAACTTAAGGCCACCTTCCAGCTTTAAAAGTAATTATTGTGCGGGGGAATGTTTTGTTTCATCTTTTCTGGTAAATATAGATTTAAGAACTGTCATCCAATTCCCTTTGCGAGGCTTATCTTTCCAAAGTTATTTTGTCCGGACCCTTTCTGGACATCTGCAGGATTGATGTTTTTAAAGTTGACAAATAAAACACATGGAAAAATCAGGGGAAGAGTGGGAAGGAGTGGGAAATGAAGCTTGGGGAAAAAAATCTGTTCCACATCTGGTTTAGAGGTTAGGGAGGCATTTAAGACAGTCAGACCCCAAGGAATGTGGGTACAAATTGTCCCAACCCGACAGAACGGTGGGCATCTCCAGCTGTTGTCGTTCCTTCTGCCATCTGGAAAAGATTGAATTTTTCTGGAGGAGGCAAAACAGCTGGCCAACCTCAGCCACAAATAAAAAATGCGGTCTTGGAACGTGAATAGGAGGGGTGGAAAAATCTACCTTTTTTCCTCAACTTTTTTTCTGAGGGAACGGAAAAACAGCAATAGACTGAGGGATCAGATTTAAACCCAATTTTACTCTTCCCAACGATAAAAAACGAACATCCATTGACAGAATGATTCTTAAATTCATAAGTTAGGCACAGAGTGTTGCTTGTTAGGTACCAAACTGAAAAAATAGCATTGTGTGAGCCCAACCACATCTGCACACAAATAGACACATAGAGAGAGAGACACACAGAAAAATTCTTACAACTAAATTATTAAGCCAGTCAAGGACAAGTGAAACAGTCTCTTCTGTCAATACTAGAGAAGAATTTTCCAAACTGCTTAGGGAGCTATGGCTTATCTCCTAATAGTAAAATAAGAATCTAGTCCTCATTGTGCAAAATAAATAAGAGGTTTTGTTAAATAAGCAGAAAAGGAGCAGCTGACTTCGTACCGAGATTAACACCGCTGAAGCGTGCACCCAAAATCCAGACTGTCCAGCGGTAATTCGAGGAGTTTTTCTCCTACTTCGAGACCACAAGGATAGAATTTGGCAGTTTCTAAATGCCAAAAATTGGTAGAAAATTTTAAAAAAACAACTTTCCTTGGTATAAGGAAGAGAAGTTGGTTAGAGATGGAAAAGGTGCGACCTTCTGGATATTCAATTCCAGAAGGATTTTGGAGTGGGAAGCGTGCCTAACTTAAAATAAATTAAATTAAATTATAATTTCCCAGCTCGTATGGCTGGCACGGAAGGATGCTGGGAGCTGCAGTTGGCAGGAGCAATTCCCCCAAATGAGATCACAATTCTTGAAATGGTTTTAAGTCTTGGGGTAGAGAGTTGTGCTCATAAACCATGATCCCAAATGTTGGATGCAAAAAAAAAATTAATCTGGGATTTTGAGAGATTTCTGCATCAGAGCTAAACTTTGCGAGAAGAAAACAACCTGGAACTCTGGTGACTCCAGACAGGGGAAGGGGTTCTTCATGGGATCACTGAATCATTGACTCTAACAGTCGGAAAGGATCTTGAGATCATCTAGTCCAACCCCCAAGGATGAGCTGTTCTACATCTGAAGATGCTAACCAGCCACAAACGCGGGTGTCAAATGCCAACCATTTTTCTTCTAGGTATCTTCAATTGTTGCAACAGACCCAGGACATAGTACCCTGTACCCCAAACATTGCTCCGCCACCCTCGACCTTTCCCCCAAGCCATTGTCTCAAGTGTGATCTTCCATTCTGGTGCTGTCATCAACTCACACAGTGGCGAAGAGATGCCAGGATGGGGATAGCTGTATCTTGGCATTATTAAAAGAGAGAGAGAGAGAGAGATAGCAGAGAGAACCAATAAATACATAAATAAACATAATTCACAACTTCTGGTTTGGAAAATTTCTCTGCATTCCAAGAACTAGCAGCCATCAGAGGAAGGAAGGAAGGAAGGAAGGAAGGAAGGAAGGAAGGAAGGAAGGAAGGAAGGGAGGGGAAGGGAGGGAGGAAGGAAGGAAGGAAGGAGAGGAGGTAGGAGGGAGGGAGGAGAGGAGGTGGGAGGGAGGGAGGAAGGAAGGAGAGGAGGGAGGAAGGAAGGAAGGAAGGAAGGAAGGAAGGAGAGGAGGGAGGAGGGAGGGAGGAAGGAAGGAAGGGAGGAGGGAGGGAGGAAGGAAGAGAGAACACAAGTAATCCTCGACTTATGACGACAATTCGAACCAGAATTTTCATTGCTAAGCAGGGCAGCAATAAGACAGCCCAATTTTACAAGGTTGTTTTTTTTTGCCAAGGTTGCTAAGTGAATCACACGGTCATTAAACGATTCCAGCTTCCCC